AAGGGGCCTGTTTGAGACTACTTCAGATTATTCTAAATTGTCTCATCTTGGTCTATCAATCTAGGACCGTTTCTTTCGCCATCGCGTGCTAGCTTGGATGTATGGTGTTTTTGCGAGCCAGAAGGTAAGTGTTCTGTAATGCATTTGGAACATGCCTACTGCGGCTGCTTTGACTGCGAAACATCTAGATGAAGGACAAACAGGACAGGGGAGTGATGCATCTGTCTTTTTCAAGCCTAGGATCTTGCTAGACAGTGATCATTCTTCGCTTCCCAGCGCAGCGACGCTTTTGCAATGGAGAGAACGCGTTGATTGAACATTTGATCGCTCATCTCGTCATCTAGTTTTGTCCTTCCCCACCAGATCAAACCAGATAGCTTCCGTTCTGTCACATTGCCGTACTGATATTACTCGTCGATCGTTTGATTACAGGATTTTCGTCGCAAACGAACCTAAATCGCGCATCTTTCGTACGTCTCGCCCAATGCGCTCGATCGAACGTCATATGCTTATCGACATAAAACCAACGATCACGAATGAGGAAGAATTTTATCGTGACAATACACCAACAAAACAACGCTGTAGGCACTTGAACTTACGGTGTGATACGAGTTTTGATTCGCGCTGCCATATTCAGAATATATTTCGCAGACCTTTGCAGCGCTGGTGCCCATCAGATCATTACGACACAGCTCTCGAAAGATGGTTGATCTTACTGGATCTTGTATGTGAGAGTGAATCGAGGAGTGTTAGTATTACATCTGTTGTTACTGACTGGTTGTATAGCAACAAGAAGCCCTCGATATTTCAAGCTGCAAGAGCTGTACACGACAGCACATTCTTCGCATACGTGTTGATCTCTCGAAAGGCAACAGATCTTATGTGAGAGTGAATCAAGGAGTGCAGGATCTTCTTCATATTTCAAATCTCGGAAGTCACATTCCGCAGGAGGTTGAGCAGTACACACGATAACGGAACGGTGACCAGCCCATCTAAAAGGCAGGGCTGATCACAATACGTCATCATCATTAAGAGAAAGGCGATAGTAGATCTTACATGAGATCAAATCGTGTATAGCAACGATCTTCTTCATAGTTCATCTCAGAAAGCTACAAGAGTTCGACAGTACGCTGGCGGTGTCTACGCACTGGCAGTGCGCACGCTCTCGCGGGCAACCTGCAACTTGAAGTTCCATGCGAGCAGCAAGTTGGCCAGCAACGGCCCGCCCGGGGACAGTTTTCCTGATCCGACGACTGCAATCACCGATTTTGAATACGCGAAAGAGTCGACACTGACCACCACACCCTCTGCTAAGTCTGCTTGCTAGCAACACCTCTGACCCAGGGAGATCCTTTTGTGGGAAGATCACAAATGCTACCAACAAGTTTACCTCCGCTGAGCAAAGGTGCTCATGCAGCACATTGCAAAAGATGCTTGTCCGGCTTGCCAGCTTCCCAAGTGGACATTGATCCGGCCAAGTACTGTATTCGATGGTGATCTCGATGACAGTGATTCTAACGCGTCCATGATTATCACAGGCTTGCCCTGTCCTTTTACTGCCTAGGCTCCTTAGATGTTTCGGGTGAGCTCGAAAAGAAGACTAGGGATTGGGAAAGAGAACACTGGAGGGAATGGATATGGGGTCAACAGACTTGTGAGCCTATTCTGAGATCCAACATGTTAGAGAATTGAGCACAAGTCACCAGGCGGACAATATGGGACCGGCTTCCGAGCAAGCTCTTATATGACTGCTAAACACTCGGTGAGAAAAGACCTTCGTTATCCAAACAACAAATTGATTTCCAGTCTGAAGGCAGAGGAACATTCGGGCTATGATAACCCTCAAATTATCATGACTTATACTGCCCTTCTCTCGCTGTCTATATTGCGCGACAACTTTTCACGTCTTGATAGGAAGGGCCTCCTGAAGTTCCTCAGGTCCTGTCAGAACGCCGATGGAAGGTAAGTCCCTACATTATGTCGGGCACTTTCAAGGTACAGACCAAGTGTCCTAGTTTTTCTTCTGAGCCTTTAGGAGGTGACTCTGATCTACGCACGACGTTCTGTGCTTTCGCCATAAGCACGATGCTTGATGACTGGTCAGGGATGGATGTTGCAAGTGCCCTCCAGTTCATCCGTTCGTGCCGGGTAAGTTTGCGGCGACTTTTTATCGGGAGCCGTTCTAATAGCTCCTCTTAAGACATATGAAGGAGGCTATGGGCAATCACCGTTCGGGGAGGCTCTAGGTAGCGTGTCATGCCTTATGATATGATAAAAGCTCACCCCACCTTCCCTCTTCAGGTGGCACTACATATTGTGCACTAGCATCACTCCGATTAGCCACTAAACAACTAGACCCCCTTACCCTCCAAGATCGACAGAAAACCGTTCGGTGGCTTGTACAAAATCAAGCATCTAACGGCGGGTTTAGCGGAAGGACCAACAAGGACGCTGACGCATGTTATTGTTTCTGGTGCGGTGCATCGCTGCATGTAAGTTCGTAGCGTCTTATGACGTTGATGGAAACTCAAACATTTTCTCCTGTTCCAACGCACCAGGTATTAGATGCAGGCGATTTGGTTGACAAAGCGGCAATGACGTCTTTCATAGCTTCTTGCCAATTCAAATACGGCGGGATTGCAAAGATTCCCGGCGAGCACCCTGGTACGTCTTTTTCAAACACTTTGACTTTGCAGCAAACGCTGTCCTAGATCCATATCACACATACCTCTCACTGGCGGCGGCGGCGCTGCTCCCGCCCGATTCGTCAGATGGAACATCTTGGGCACTTTGTCCTCTAGATCCCCTGTTGAATGCAACATACCAGACGTCCTCGTGGGCTAGAGCCCATATTCCGGCACCTAAAGTTGACGATGATGATGATGCTTTGGGTGATGCAGGCGTATGAGCGCGTGCTAAATTATGTCGAAGAAATAGACAAGTAGACAGCTAACCTGGATAGGCACCCAATGGTACATTTTACTGACTATCCTCGCTTCGAATTTGGGATGCAAAATCGCCTCATGCCATTCTTATTGCGCGAGAAATGTGTATCGTTGACAAAAGCAGAACTTTTCCTGACATCAAGCAGGTCTCTCAAGGTGAACGGCACAGAAGACATATTCTCGCTGTAAAGTGCGGCACTGATTTCATCCAGGATGTTTCCTACGTCACTCAAACCCTGCTAGAATAAAAACATATTATTCTTATGGTCAAACCCACTACTTTACACTTTACATGAAATACATTTGTTCATCTTCAGAGACACTCAGCTACGAAGCTCATTAAGGCCAACTAATCACCAAATATTTTTCACCGTAGGCGGAGGGAAATCTGGTCCGTGTGTTTGCCATGCACTGATCAGCGGGATGATATCATCAGCCTGTATGGTGAAGAATGAGTTTTGATTTCTATAAAGGCTATCCAGGAATATCACAACACACCTTTACCACCTCGCGGATGCTTTCTTTGCTTTCAGTCAGGCTTGCATCATCCGGAAGTGATCCAGTGCGCTGCATGAAAAACCGGGTGAACTCATAGCGGCGTTGATGACTATCGGCCGTATGCCACAAAGTCGGTCCGGCGCGTTTAACCATGGCTTGGATGGCGCGCACGTGTTGTACGCTAACCATCTCGCGCAACAGAATTCCCAGACAATGGTGCATGGTTGATGATTCGACGAGGCCAAATGAGAACAAGTCTGCTGTGAAGCAAGAAAAGGCCAACGCGACGTTCAACCGTTTGATTTCGAGTATTTTCCCTTGGGAAATAGCATTCGGATTTTCCTGTGCGATGGTGAGCATTAATGCTGTCAGAAGGAACTGCGATACCACGTACTTGAGAACACCAGATTGATTTGAAGTGCTTGAAGGCATGCTGGTGCAAGTGGAATGCGAAACTGCTGGAGAGCCACTTCGAGTCCAAGTGATTGATCGCCAATATATCATACACTTTTCGCGCAAAGCACGCCGCCTGATTTCCAAAATCCACCATATTCGCTTTGGCTAAAATTTCCCAGCAGAAAAGTTGAGCAAGGTCGGATAGCGTGTTGGATGTCCATGAACACAAATGCACCAGGAGATGTGGCCATTTGGGATCGGATGACAGCATGCCAGCGTCAAGATGTTCCAACCATGTCTTTGGTGTGCCATCAGGTGGGGGATAGTAGCCATTCTCATCAGGATAGGCCAAAATATCATTAGTCGCCATGGCTGAAAGATAAATGGATGAGTTGATAGATAGGCTGGGGGATAGTATGGATGTGTTGGTTTTGGTGAGAAGTACAAATCCAATCCAATGATGTTTTATAGGGCGAGAAATAGAAATATCCACAGACCTGTGGACTCTGGAGCTTTGTCACGATTGTGGACCTCCACCCACAATGACCCGTCCAAGCAGTGTCAAAACACTGTACAATGCGGCTGGCATTCACAGTGCTGGTACGAAGATGGCGGAGGGCAACAAAAAGCCTTGTGCATCACTTGGCTATGTCGATGCAAGGACCAAACCTTTTGTGGTGCACAACCAAGCCTGAGGTTCCACAGACACATTGTCACAACATTGAAGTCAATGCTTGAGAGGGATACTAATTTTGCTTACTTCAATACTCGAGCTGATGCGGTCATTTGGCATCAAGAAAACAGGCCACAGTATCATGATACCTATGAGTGTCCACAGTACCAATACCTTATGAATTACTGGCCGACGGCACCGGTGACCAGTGGAAAGTCAAAACCTAGAAAGCAGGACCGAGCATCGATGGCATCAGTACTCCGAGTCAGCCTGAAGTGGTTAACTTGTGTAAAAGCACAGCCACGCGGCGTCTGAATCAGAGGAGTACTTGTCATTCGCCTCTCTACTTTACAACTAAACAGTTCTGGTCCCATGCACTCACCTGCACAATATTTTGTCGGTCTTATGAAGTGAATCACTAGCCGACCGCTAAAATCATATCATATTGGTTCGCTCATAATATAAGGTATTGTTTCTCCTCTAACATGTCTCTGGTAGTATATCGGATAGTACACCCGCCTGTCACACTTGCTGTGCGCGGGAAAGCGGGGTTCGATTCCCCGCCAGAGAGTCTTTTTGGCACTAATCAACTTGTCAACGCTGCGGTTTCACATTGAATGCAAGATCTACTGATTACAGTTTTTTTCTTTCAAATTCGTTGTTCGGGTGCTATCGATCTATCGTACCGATGGCTTAACGCGACGTCTCAGGCAAGGGTTCATCGATATCAGAGATAATGATCTCGTTGTGAATGCCCATCGACAGATCCTAGCTAGGCTACAGCTGAGCTCCCTGGAGCAGTTGTCTCCGATTGGATGATCGTTTTTTTTTTTTTTTCATTGGAAACTACTTTCCAGAGGGGGCAAGTGTTTTTAAGATCCAAGACCATGCTTCTATATTAGAGGTGGAGAATCTACGTGGCAATCCAGGTTTATAGAACATCGTGTCACATTTGGTACATTATTATCGTCCATCGTATTGAAAGCGCCACTAGGCAGAAGAAAGCACTCTTGTCAGTCCTGATATGGCATTATCGGCCTCTCCCTATGTACAGTACGTAGTGATCCCAAAGTCAAGTCCCGAAACAAATACAATCTATCGTGCGAGATCCCGAGCGAAATGGAAAAAGTCGACACTAGAGCTGTTAACACCATATTTGTAGATCTGCAAGATGAAGTAAGTATGGGCAGACGGCAAGAAAAGGAGATACCGTTGAAACTCACGAAATGCGAAGCAACCCAGCTCGAGAATAGAGCGCGTTGGTATGTTTCGGGGAGCCTCTCTAGCAGGGCGTCGAGACCGACCTGATCCACGAGGGTAGTGGGTATGGCGCGTTTCATGACGCCCCTGCGGCTAGGTACATCATTAAACAAGTCAGAGAGTTCAAGCTCCGCCTGCAAGTGATTGAGCCTCATGGACAGCTCGTCCGAGATCTGTGTTCGCGGCTTAGCGCCTTGGAGGCGAGCGTGCTCGCGCCAAATGCAGTGGAACTCTGCTGCGGCATTCTCCGAGATCTTGTCTTGAATTTCTTTGACGTATTTTTTATAGAAGTCTGAAGGCTTGGCGTCCTTGAAGATCATGAGATCAAGGTACTCCTGGGTCGTGAGGGCAAGACCGGCGAGGACTTCAAGCGAGGAGCTGGTCACACCGCCTGAAGAAAGGTCAAGACCATGCAATAGATTATTAAAAAAGGTAATCTCACCCTTGTTCGCACTAGAATCCTTGAACAAGACAACCTTGCGCTTCTCCAAGTGCAACCTTGCCTGCTGAGTGAAGAACAAATTTGCACCCTCAACGATGTACTTGAAGTGGGGTTTGCCTTCTGTGTCCGTCAAAGCAGCAACATTAGAGACGTTCACAGCTTCAGGACTGAATGATCGTCAGCTAGTGTGTCGTGCAGGTGGTTGACGCAAACATACCGTCCACCGCAAGGCACAAAAAGATCTGCCTTGAAACGGAAGTGAGCACCATTCCTGAAGTCGGTACCATCCAGAACGATTTCGCCAGCTAACGACAATATGAGATCACAACAAACTTCGAGAAAACCAAACATACACGGTAATCTAACGTCCTGTTCTTCGACCTTGACAAGGTACCCATCCTTGCTCAACTTGGTCTTGTCAAAGTGAGCGACGGTCAGGCGATGTTTGGCAAGGCGGATGAGCTCCTCTCTATTGATACCTGCAGAGTCGGCAAGGACACCACTGCCATCGATAATGGCAACGGTCTTGTCGGAACTCAAGAGTATCTCATTCGAACCGAGGTCTCCGTCTGCAAAATGTCAGTGAAGACATCCAAAGAGCAAAGATGCAAACATACCAGGACCACCAGTCTGCACTTTCGTGATGTCCTTCTCTCTCAGTCCAAGCTGCTTGTAAATGCCAAGCACATATTGACGAATGGATAGCGACGTCATTCCATACGTATCATGGGGAATACCACCCAAAAGTTCGGCACTTTTGCCGGTGGTAAATGACTTCCACCATGTCTCGGCACCACGATCGCGAGCGTGCAATGCCGCCCAATCCATCATGTCTGCTGTACCCTCTATACAAGACGTCAGTCACATCCATGGTATATGCACGCAGTCCTACCATCGGGGCCAAAGAACAGCAACTCTGGCTTTCCATACAAGTCAACCAGGCGTTCCTTAATCCCTGGAGTTTGGCCAGGGATAAGCAGGTCGATGATAGCCTAATTAAATAATCAATATTTATCTATTGATGCATAACTGCGCACTTACATCGACATATTTCTCGAAGCAGCGTCTGGGCGGCGCTCCAAGACTGCGTGAAAGATACATAAAAATGCAAAGATGGGAAGTGAAATCACGCACGAAGGCAAGATAGTACCCTTGGCGCCTCCTTCCGGAATGTCCTTGTTTTTCAAAGATTGAGTGGCAGCTAATCCATAGTTCTCATCGAACAACATCCTCTGATTGATCGAATAGTTCCTGGTTGCGAAGAAGTCAGACGCGGGATCCCAAAGTCCAGAAAAGGCGCGCGTACTCTTTGTTCCGCGACGTGACGATTCGAATACCGCCACGGGCAACATCTCTGAAGCGGATGTGGAAGCCACGGAATTCATTTCCGATGATGATGAACATTCCGAACGGTTTATTTGGATATTCGATCTCAGGCAAAAATTCAGGAGCAAGACGGAACGACAGTGCGACCTTTGTGGGTTGATAGAAGTTCGTCTTCAAAATATGCCTGCGGGGAGGTCAGCCACCATTCAATCATTCGCTTTGAAACTCACTTGTTGAAAATGAGGAAACTCTCGAGAACCTGTAAATCCTGCTTGTTCAGGACCGTACGTCTGATTTTATCGTACAACTCAGAGTCAGACAGGGGTTGGGTGGTTTGAAGACGCTGGTAAGAGAGAGTAGGGCTGGGCGCGTTTAGTCAGAGTTACCCAAGGCAAATCCATTAGCAGACTCACCCAAGTTGCGATGCCTCGTCTGCAGCTGGATAATGTACCATGGCGAAGTTGACATAAATCTCCCGCGTGAAAGTCTCCTCCCTGAAACGTCTCTTAATATCATTGAGAACTTCGGCGTGTGAGGGGTTCGACTCGTCCAAGATATTTTTGAGGTGGAGGTACGCGGGACCCAGGCGATTGCAGAAGTGTTGAGCGAGAACCCAACCACAATCTAATGAACAATTAACTCAATTCCTATCCTCAAAAATGTTGAGCATACAAGCATAGGTCGCCTCTTGTACAGCATGTCCAGAGTTGACGGAATCGAGGAAAGAGGGGCTGTTGGGAAGACAGTAAAGCAGAGATGCTTCTTTCATCACCTGGAATATGGAGTGCTCGATCGGCGCGCCGGTTGAGTTAGGCATCGGATTCAAGTATAGAGAAATGATCGTGATCCCATTGGAGAACTGCTCCACATACTTGCGAGCTGAGTACAGCTGGTAAAAGTGATAGAGGTTCGATAGAGCGCTGCAAATAGGTTAAGGCTGCCGTGCTATAACATGGATAGGTTGACACACCTGAAGAAACGGGAAGTGCCGCCCATTTTGTATCCGATGACAAGACGCCTCTCACGAGTGCCTTCGACTTCAAACACTTCCATGACAGGACCGTAGCGACTCTCAACTTGCCACAAGATTTTCTGATATACCTCAAGAGTATGCGGGCTCGCCTTCTCAAGGAAAGCAGTGTCGGAGACCGTACGGATGTCGGTAAGTCCATCAGTCCGAGTTGAGGGAGGTGGTGGAGAAGGGAAGTTGCACTTGGTAATGAAGTAACAGCGTAGCTGCTGGGATGCTGTTGCCGATATAGATCCAGTGGATCGGAAAGTCTCAAGGCGGTAACAATTCGACGGAGTTGAGTTGTCGAGGTATAAAGAGTCGATTCTGTATCAGGCACAAAATTGGCATAGCGATTGTAAGCCACATAAAATAACATACCTGGATTCGCAGGTAGCCCCAGGGCCTTCGGTAGAAGTCAGACCCGGTAAACTGGTGTGGATAAAAGTCGCCCCATTTCCTTTCTCGTCGATCTTCTCGAGGTCGATGACGAGCTTGTTAAGGTCGTGCTTGGTGTAGGCGAGCACCTTGGCACCAAAGAGCGCGATGATGTGATCAGATATAACAGAGGGCGATTCGTTTTGAAAGTAGGTGTCATCGATGCCGAGTTGAGAGTAGAACCAATTGACTTCATTTACGACCAGCTCACGAGGAATGAAACCCTACGGATGTGATGCAAATATTAACGCCTACTGTGAGTTAGAGAGATGTAGATTGCATTACCTTGGCAGAGACATCTGCTTGCACCTTGGCGCGTTGTTCTTCCTTGCCTTTGAAGACTGGGGTAGTGTAACCAGGCAGGTTCTTGACGCGCTGCAAGGATGCCTCGCTACTAGCCCTCGAGCTTGTGGCAGAAAGACCATTGAGGTGAGGAACTCCTAGAGTGGAATGAGGCTGGGACGGCGTCGAGGACATCGTCTAGCAGTGATTATAGACGTCTATAGAAAATCTACAAGAAAGTCGCGTCTACTTGACCTGATGCAGTGAATCGGGGGACAACAATGGTTTTAATAGTGACAATAATCAAGCTCGTATTTATACAGATTTACGGACCATAACTCAAGAATTGAGCTCTGTGTACGGATCTTGTGCTTGCCAAGGTGCAATCTGGTATGCCAGTCAAAATAGTGACAAATACAGAGAAAAAAAAAGGAACAATTCGGAAAGAATATTTACTAGGTACCAAGTCTCCAATACATCATGCTCAGTAATATTAATGTGATATGCTTCCAGGACATTTTCTATCCAATATCTACTTTGTCGTGTTTCAACCTGTTTCAAGCTGTTTCAACCCGGTACTACAAGGTGCCCGATGGCGGACCAGGTGACTCGATGTCCATGATCCGACGCTCGGCGGCCAGGGCTGTAAAACAGCCTTGCAACAGTCTAATAGGTGAGTACGAGTTGTCTTGTCTGTGACTGATTGATGCATGGCAACCACATTAAGGATGAGCGAGATCAATCTTCAAATTATTTCGAATTCACTGAGCAACCCATTGCATGCTTTTGAATCATCGCATCGCATCATGGGGTC